TGACAGGGAAGCAAGAAAGCGGAAGGGAGTTCCACAGGCGAGAAAAGAATCTCTTAGAATAGAACTGCTGGTTGCATCTAGGTAGTTAAACCGTAAAATGGTGAGACCCAGCTGCCAATCGAGTAGCACGCTTAAATTTGTGCAGACGATGCACTAAGAACATTTCAACAGAACAATTGCCAGGAAAATATTTGTAGAAAAATGGTAGGAAAGTGAATGAGTGTCGAGATGCCAAGTCAGGATTGATTATATAACAGACCCTTCTTTGAATTTTGTCAAGAATCTCGAGATACGTAATAGGAGCACCAGACCAGATATGGCAGCAGTGTTCACTGCATGGACGAATTTTTTTTTTTTTTTTTTTTTTGTAAGCTTTTTCGCCCAAGCAAGGCGGAATGCCACTAGCACGCAGGGGTTACAGATAGTGGGAGTGAGATTAAAGAGGCGTGATAGAGGAAAGGATGAATAAAAGGACAGGGCATCTGGAGATGTCGATTGACATTACATTTGAATAGTTAAAGATTACAGCTATAAGAGAAACAAGTAATAGGAAGTGAATTCCACAGACGGGAGGTGCGAGACATGGAGTAGAAGAGACGGCCACATTTAACTGTTTCGACTGTGAAAGGGTGGGACCGAGATGCCAGCCTAGTAGCACATTTAAATTCATGAAGCAATTAACGTGAAAGTCTAAAAAAGACAGGTAGGCAACGGTACGTCTGTGAGAGAGCGACTGTAGACGAGATGCCAGATCAGGGCCAATCACATTGCATATCCGTCTCTGGATTTTGTCGAGGACCTTAATACGAACAACATCTGAGAAGAAGAAGAATTGTCTGGCATGAAACCGCGAACCAACTTTTCTTGGTTTCTACCAATTGATTCAATGCAAATTACTTTCGAAGCTTTTCTATTGAAAATACACAAATTTCTTTGCGCTCAATTTTTCAGTAGAAAAACCCACACGCATTAAAAATCAACATAGATTTTTAAATGTGTTTTTACACACATTTAAAATCGAAAGTATATGTGCCACTGGTTCGGGACCTAGGTAAGCGTAGAGAAGACGAGATGTTCATCCCACTAGACGAGCGATTCTCAACTGCAATAATGCACCCTGAAAGGTAGCCAGGTGCATACCAAGTTAACAGAAGGTTTTTTTTTTTTTAATAAAACTTTTATGATCTCGTAAATTTAATAAAATCTCGTAAATTTAGACTAAATCGTAAATTTAGAGACTAAATCTCGTAAATTTAGAGACTAAATCTCGTAAATTTAGAGACTAAATCTCGTAAATTTAGAGACTAAATCTCGTAAATTTAGAGACTAAATCTCGTAAATTTAGAGACTAAATCTCGTAAATTTAGAGACTAAATCTCGTAAATTTAGAGACTAAATCTCGTTGATAAAATCTTAACATTGGGAGGAACATAGTATATATTCTTTTTTAAGTGATAAAAATATTTAATAAATCACTCAGCGACCGAAATATCCAATATTTTTTTAACTAAATAGTAGCTGAACTATTCGTAACTATTCTAATCCCTAGTGTATTCAGTAATTTACAAAATCACTAATCTATATAACATTATTTTCAATATTCTATAATATTGGAAAATGAAATTTCAAGAACAGACAAAAGATTACACATGTACATGTGAAAATGAATTGTATTACACATGAAATACAATCTTTTATTAAAATTCAAACTATACACCAGTGTTTTTGTTATTTTACAAGTGTGACATGAAGTAAAAAAAGGTTGAGAAACACTGCACTAGACTATCACATATTTTACAATATGATAGATAGATAGATAGATAGATAGATAGATAGATAGATAGATAGATAGATATGAAAAATAAGATAGATAGATAGACTGTGACCGAGGCGAGCCTTCAAGTTGAATGACATCTGCTGCGCTTTGATCTAGTGAGGGATGGGCTCCGCCGGGTCTACTTGCGACGAGTAATGTACGAGTACCGCTCCGGCTTTCACTCCAGATGTGTGGAAAGGACTGATCAGATGTTCAGTTGCGCAGCGACCCCAAAGACCCCCAACGACCACACCCAGTCATGGCACAGATGATGATGATGATGATGATGGCGACGATATATTTGTTTATCTTCTATCGATAGATAAATATCAAAGTGCAGAGATATGTTTACGAATGAAACAAATGCCAAAGAATAAGCACAAAATTAAATTTTCATTTCTTCAGGGTTATGTTCTTTTTGTCGTAACCCCTTCAGCAGTTATGATTCTCCACAGCTTCCTATCCTTTGTAGCTCCTAACAATGTTTGACTTTTTACTACGCACCTATTCTGCCACCCATTTACACAAGCTTGTCATGTAGGCTCTTGATGAGTCAGCGGTCAGATAACTAGAGATGGTGTCTCGATAAACTCAGTGTGGAGAAAGTAACAGGAACCCCCCGCTATCAATCCTAAGAATAATTATGGCAGTACACAAAATAATAAATACAGTTGAAAATTTTACACACATAATAAGGAAGTTGTTGCATTATTAACTAAATGACAGTCCTTTATATGAAAAATATTATGTGTGTGTGTGCAAAAGTTCACAGCGAACATCGGATTTTCAGCTGTGTATTTTAGTTTCTTTCTTTCTTTCAATCTGTTTCAGTTTATGCTCTTTGCTTTTCTTTCTTACCCATCTCCTTCCTATCTCTCCTTATTTCTCTCTTTCTCTCTCTCTCTATACATATATAGTTATCTATCACTCCTATCCCTCATATATATATATATATATATATATATATATATATATATATATATATATATATATATATATATATATATATATATATATATATATATATATATATATATATATCGAGTCTAGTTCGCTACCTCTTCGTCACCAAGGCCTGTTAGTACAGTTGGTATGACGTTGCCTGTCCGGGTTTCAATTCTCGGTAGTGGATGCGCACTGCTGATGAGTCCCAAATATAGGACGAAACGGCCGTCCAGTGCTTTCTGTTGAGATTTCTTCTAGAAACTTTAGTCTTTTGACTCGATGAATTACTTAATTATCTCAAATCCTCCTTAATTTCCATCATATATATATATATATATATATATATATATATATATATATATATATATATATATATATATATATATGTTGTAATCGGGAATTAAGGAAACGGAGCATCGTTTCAGATATTGTTCAGATATGAAAGCATCATGTCGGCCATATTGTTTATGTGTAAAAGATCTGGAGTTTCGCTTCGGCGGACAGAAGGCACTAAGTCGTTGTTACTACAAACCCCCTTACAAGTTTTTAAACTTAATTGATAAACATTTTCCTAAAAGTAATCCATTAAGTCAAATTTTCAATAAGAATACTCTAAAAATTAGCTATAGTTATACTAACAATCTGGAAAAAAATACTAAATCACACAATAAAACTCTAAAGCCCAAAGAAGAGGAAAATAGTCCCCATGTAATTAATGTAAATAAGGACAGTCCTTTTATCGTATTGAAGGTGACATATCTATCTTGTTTTTGAAATTTAATCTAACTTTGTTTCGCTATTTGCGTAATCTAATTAAAGTTAGTTTTATGTTTGATTAAATCATACTTTATTCTATTTTTATTCTATATTGTTTGTATTTTCAAAAAGGCATTTCGGTAAAAAAAAAAAAAAACTTTTATGTAGCAAGTGTTCGGACATTTGTAACACAAGGTTTCGACTGATCTATTCTCCAGCCTTCGTCACTTGTATTTCGTAAGTATAAAGAAATATGTAAACATTGTGCGGATGAAATAAAATGGAGAATGAGACGAATTTTTTTTTAAAAATAACATCACCCATAGTAAATGCCACCTAAGAACGGAAAGAAACACTTCGATTTTTAGAGAGACGAAAAAATTCTCAGTATTGCCAGTAGATATGAGAAACGTGATTGTCATGGTGGACAGAACAACATGGGTTCTTAATAGAGTTTAGGGGTAACTTTCCAGAAATATACAAAGCAGACACACCGCTAAGAGTCATAATCAATTAACATGATTCATCGTATTACCCACTGAGGCTCTTCTTGGCTGACATTTTAAATCCACTTTTGAGTAAGACGTTATGGCGAGTCAGAAACTCGTCTGGTTATCATTAATGGTAAGTTTTCATGTTGTTAGACATTTTAATAAGATATCGACAGAGAAAACCATACATTTCCTCTATGACAAGCTGAGTGGTGACACAGTTCTGAGAACCCCTATTAGCATCTCTGTTGGCAATTTAATGAAGTGTGTAAGTCCGACATTTTTTTTTCAGATTATTTATATATATCATTCAAAAGTAGGTTTAGTTATTCCATCTTTACTTTTCCTAATGATCATCTATATTTCCATTTTTTATCTATCTTTGTGTTTCTCTACACTGAAGCCGTCAGTTTGGTTTCAGTAGGTTAATGATACTTTTTATTCTACGTTGCATCGGAAAAACGTTGGGGTTCTAATGGATCGTGTACACCAGTAGACTTTCCATACAGTTCACAATGGAGAAGGAAAACAATAATGAACTCCCTGTTATTTGGTGGGTGGGGGGCTATGTTTTCTTTTCTTTTGTTTTTGGTGATCTAACAATGCCATATAAATGGAGATACAGCACAGGTGTATAAAAGAACGATCTGTTATATCTGACCTTTGAATCTAAATATCCTTTATATGTGAGAAAATCACTTGCTCTTAGTCTTTGACACCGAAATTTGAATGATTGTTTAATCGATACGTTTTTTAGGGTTTATCAACCCTTTGCAGGTTATATAAACCTAGAAAATATTTTTAAATTGTAAGAATATTTTTACGATAATAATAGTTTAGTGATACAAGTCTTACTAATTAACCAATAGCTGGGGGAGAAGAGGTGGATTCATACCTTCCTCAAGGGTATTTGCGCGTAAGTAAATATAATGGGAATTGGACCTCCGTTCTCTGAATAACCATTAGCCATTACAGAAACACGCACATCTAAGCTTTCAGCACCAGGTATTCCCAAGCGGTCACCCATCTAAGTACAAACCAGCCTCAACGTTGCTTAACTTCGAGGATCGTACGTGAAATCTGAAGAAGAATTAAGAGACATTAGTAGCAAGAGCAACCATCCATCATAACAAATATTCATGGGTTGTTTAAAGAAAGAGGAACCGTAAAAATCTCCCTGTATATTTCACTATACTATATCAGATTTTAATATGGAAGCCAATAGTTTCACAATGAAATTGGTATTCACAAATCGATTTCTGTAAAACTTTCAGGAGATTCTTATATTTTTATAAACCGTGTAAACTTCAGGTTGTAATATCTATTTATACTTATATTTTTTATTTATATATATATATATATATATATATATATATATATATATATATATATATATATATATATATATATATATATATATATATTTATTTTAAAACTTGTATTTTATTTAATAGCTTAGGGTGCGGCAAAAGTAACACTCTTTTTTTCTCAGGTTGAGGTGGATAAGACGAGGTGGGGAAATAGAGTGACCATCCCGATCACCAGACCTGAAACGACCAGACATTTTCTTGTGGGGTGGGGACTGAAAGTTTACAGGTTCAAACCGAAAAGAATTCCCGAATTTAAACAAACATTTTCTCATAGATTTTCTTAAATTAATTTAGAAATCAAATGTCAAATGGTTTGTAGAAGTGTCACTGACAGGTTACAGCGTTGCATTGAACATATTAAATAGCTCGTTAATCATAACAAATCATGTTGTTTTGACGTGACAATACTTATAAATTTTCTTAAACTACTGTCATTTATTTTTGTTTGATAAAAAATTATAATTAAAAAAGGGTATTACTTTTGCTGCATCCTATATATATATATATATATATATATATATATATATATAGGGAGGCACAGACGTCAACACCAAGCGGCGATAGTCTGTTTCGTGCTTCGTGCTTCAGTGCAATTTTCATGCCTGAAAATTGTGTTTAGGCACGAAACACATTGCCGTTGCTTGGTTTTGACCTCAGTGTCCACTTTTATATTTGCATACGCTCCATTTCTGATATTGACCACTTTTACCCATAAATATAGCATACTTTAAAACTATATTTTTATCATATATATATATACCAATCCAAGTCGACGGACATAATCTGAAGTGTGTAAAGAATTTTAATTATCTTGGCAGCAAAGTAAATTCAAGTGGAACATTGGATGATGAGATAATCAATAGAGTAGCAAAAGCCTCTAGTGCCTTCGGAAAACTTCGTCATCGACTTTGGAAAGATCGTGATATCAGGCTTGGAACCAAAATCCAGGTGTACAAGACTGTAGTTCTCACAACCCTTTTGTATGGCTCAGAGTCTTGGACAATATACAGAAAGCAAATTCAGCAAATATATATTTTTCTCAAAGGCTGTCTTCGGGAAATCTGTGGGGTAAACCTAAGCGACAGAATGGCAAATGCAGACCTTTTCACCATGTGTGATATTGATGGTATTGAGTCCTTTCTCCCCTGAAATCACAATTACGCTGGACACGTCATGTGTTACGTATGCAAGACAACAGAATTCCAAAAATGCTCATGTATGGTCAACTTGACAATGGTCATTGAAACGTGGGTCGGCCTTTGCTTAGGTACAGGGACAAGGTGAAGAGTAACCTCTTAGCTGTGAATATAAATCACACTACCTTTGAGAACATCGTAATTGATCGTAATGAATGGAAGATTACATGCTACAATGGCATCAAGAACAAGGCAGCATCAAACATTGTCAAGCTTCGTCAAAATAGGGAAAGGAATAAAATATCTGCTGCTGTTCCAGCCATATACTCCAAGAATCCACACTCTTGTACAATCTGTGGACTTCTTTGCAAATCACTAGCGGGACTGAAATGTCTCTTGCGACTCACACACAAGGTTAAATAAACAAAGTTGTCGGAACCTCATACGTCGAAACCGACGGGAGAGTCCATCATATATATATATATATATATATATATATATATATATATATATATATATATATATATGAAGAAATATAGTTTTAAGGCGTGCTATATTTATGGGATAAAGTGCTCAATATCAGAGATAGAGTGTATGTAAATTAAAAGTGAACATTGAAGTCAACACTTAGAGGCGACAGGCTGTTTCATGCTAGACGCGGTCGTCATGCATGTCGCCTCTAAGTGTTGACTTCAATGTTCACTTTATATATATATATATATATATAATTTATATATATATATACATATACATATATATATACACACACACACACAAAATATATATATATATATATATATATATATATATATATATATATATATATTCAAATATATAATATTAAATATAACATACAACAAATGTCTATTATGTTTGATCATGAGCCGTTCTAAGCTTCGTATGGTGGCTTTAATTTCGGAAGAACATATAGACAAAAGCTGTCCAACATTTATATATTTTTAATTATTCTGTTTCTCGATCTAACCTTTCGGTCCCATATGGGCCATCATCAGGGTGGATATATGGACATTACATCACACTTTGTTATATTTAACAATATATGTTTGAATATTGATCTGCTGCCCCAATACACTATATATATATATGTGTGTGTGTGTGTGTGTGTTTGTGCGTGTGTGTAGTAACGTTATAGTCTCGAATTAAAACCATCAATTAGATACAATATATGTCTTTAACACTAGCATGGTTTATGAAGAATCAAGAATTGGCCTTCAAATAGCAGTGACAACCAAATTCTATGTATACTCTTTTCTCTGGGGAAAAAGCAGAATGCGATATTTAGCTCCATAAAATGCCCATCTTTTTCAAAGAAAATCCAGCATCACAGCAGAAATCGTTTCCCTTAAATGCAAATCCCAAAGAAAACGTCATCTTTGGTTTTCTTATCTTCGTGGAATGGCACGTCGAGAGAAGCAGCGTTTCTGATGACAGTAACATTCATAGAATTCAAATCTGGGCAAATCTTTGTTTCAAATTCTGGCCTCTGGTGAACCCCGCAGTTCGCCGCCTAAAGACCCATGATGCGTCAAGTAAATCTACTCGTCCCATATGCAAATAACGACGGAGAGAAGGAGTGTTTAAAACATAGACTGACAACAGTGTCGGAATCATGTTTCTTACTTAAAACAATTTTAACAAATAATGTTTTTCATTGTCTAAGGACATTTGCACTTTGCCCTCTTTTTACTAGTTAGCTTTTTAAAGACACTCAGATTATATCAATAATGATGTGCAGGGGAGATAACTTATAAAATTCATATCAGATCGTAGAATTCATATCAGGTCATGAAGACAACAATGAAGTCATTCTTGGCTGTTTTACCAATTACTGTGTGTTCCATGTTTGAAAATGATGAAATACTAGTCAATAGTGAATAATGGCTGACAACGCTTCACCTAATAAAAAATTCAAGATAATAATGAGACGACAAGTAGAAATAAAGCAATCGAAAGGAAAGAAATACGAACAAAAAATGAACAATGATTTCCGATGCTTCATCTAAATATAATTCAACTTTTAATTAGGCAACCGTTTATCTCGCGAGATAAAGGTAGCTTTCTGTTTGGTCAAAATTTAGTCCTTCGGTGGTGAGACTGGAGTGGACTCTCCGCGGCGCAGGCCTGAGCGATGGTCTATTGAAGCGATGCGCTGCCCAGACTACATGGACCCACTTTCGTCCGTACCAACAAGATCCAAAGGAATACAGAATATATGGGTCCGACTTGACCGTAAGAGTTGTCAGTAAGTTTTCGGTATTTGCAGCTAACAGTCTTCGGGGTTCCACTCCGTATTTTCTGTCTGGGTTTACTTTCATAGCATTTTTCGTGTTTGGATATGACGGCAAGGTAACGGAAATTTAAAATCAGGATTTTCCTTCGCCTAGATGGACTGCCTTCCTGGGCTGTCGAGCTCCATTTACTCAAAGCAGCTGTTGATGAAGCTCCATAGTTCACCTTCGCCCATTCTCCTGCTTAGTTGCCAGAGGTTATTTGAGACGCATGACATGGAAGCATTTTATAGACAGTGGGAGCGTGCCCCTTACTATTACATCCGGGCTATGACAGCAAAATCATATTCAACATGACTACAACTAAGATTATTAGGGTACGCAAAAAGCAAAAACAATAGCATTAAACATGGAGCTACCATGCAATCTTGGAAAATTAATGAATGAGTTTATATGTGATTTCTTTCAGCCATTGCTTTGAGTAGCTAAAGCAATTGAGAATCTCTCGTACATATACGAACTTCCTGACATATGCTGTTTCGTGTCTCGCCTGAAGTTTATTCTTAACTTCTGAAATGCGTTTTTTTTCTCCTTTTCATAAAACTGCTGCCACGTCTGATCTGGTGCTTCTGCTATGTATTTTGAGATTCTTGATAGAATCCAAAGAAGAATCTGCAATGTTATTGGTCTTGTCATGACATCTCGGTTTCAGTCACTTTTCTCCCCCGCCGTAACGTAGCTTCCATGTGACTTTTCTATAAATATTTTCTTGGTAATTGTTCTAATGAGCTTCCCTGCACCTCTCCTGCATGTTTTAATGTATTAATTACTTATGTCAAAATTAATGTATTAATTACTTATGTTAAAATCAATGTATTAATTACTTATGTAAAAATTAATGTATTAATTACTTATATCAAAATTAATGTATTAATTACTTATGTCAAAATTAATGTATTAATTACTTATATTAAAATTATTGTAAGACAACAGGAAAGTAACTGATTTTGTTACAGTTTATTTCCGATCACAAGAAGTTAAAATATGAGGCACGGTCGTTTTTCTTTTTTTTTTTGTTTTTTGTTTTTTTTTCTTCGTGTAGTGTAACCCGTATAAAACGCACACAATTCTATGTCGAAATTTATGGTCAATCTTCCAAAAATAATCCGGTTCTTTCGTTCATTGACACAGTTATCAGCTCGTACCCATCTTACAGACATGAGGAATTACCACTTGGACGACTAACTAACTCCTGTTCACCAGATTTTGATTATTTATTGATTTGCAACAACGAATGGATAAATTCTCTTGGTCGCAATTTA